AAATGTCAGGAAGTAATGTCATAATGGTGAACTAACCGACAACAGGGAATGTGATGACGATGTGAAGTTATTTGGACGGTGCGTGATACAATGTCGATAGTTTTCTACATGCAGCACTTCTACTCTTAGGAAGAAAAAAAAATTATATATATATATAAAATTAAATTATTTGACCTTCTATATATATATAAAAAAAAAATATGACAGAAAATCAATAATTTTATCTAACAAGTTAAACGGCTTTTAATCGAAAGTATACAAAGAGAGAGAGAGAATTATGCAAATGCAAGAATTTTATTTTCATTTATTCATAAATTCCCCAAAAAATAATTTAAGAAGAAAGAAATATTTCTTCTCATTTGCATATTAGCATATAAAATCGACTCATCCCAATATCGAATCTCCCCTACTGAAGTCTGCCCAGAATGGACTAAACCACGACATGACTCACAATTGTGACTGTGACGTGTGAGTAATGGGAAAAGTGGACGCTGCAGCTGTGACTATCGATACAGTGACGTGTTCACCTTCGTCTGAATATCAGATCAGAACAAACAAAGATTTATGAAAGACTGACAATGTAAATTTAACTGTGTTTTTTTCCCCCCCTCCCTTCCTTCCCGATCCATTTTGACATAACCATAATTATAACTCAGTTTGTATTGTATTATATATATAACGTCATTTATACATAATTTATTATTACAATATCATCGATAGTAAAGAAAAGAAAAAAAAAGTATTTTTATGTAAACTACCTAAAATTTTATAAATAAAAACTTTTCTTTTAAAAAAAAATTTTTAACCAATGAAAGACTTTAAGTGGTGACTCGTAACCAATCAGATCGGCGGATAATGAAGAAAAACGAATAAAAAAATTTGAATTTTTCATTGATCGTTTTTAAGGAGCGGATAGAAAATCGATTAACAAAATTGGTAAATTTTTAATTACAGGACTTTTGAGATAAATTAACAAAGTTTTAAAATGTACGGATTTATTATTAAACTTACCATAAAAATGATGAAAAGAGGATGTATCTGGCGATAAAAACTTGTATTTTCCCCGCTGTCAATATATATAGAGAAAGTAGATGGTTTTATTACTTTGGTCCAAATGAGTCATACTCTGTAACGTGGTTTGTGCTGTGCTTTATCAGTGTCATTGACATATGGATGTGTCAGGACAGTTATTAACATAAAGCAAAATTCTAAACTGGAATTAATGAAATTACAAACAATGAACTCTTCCAAGCATAAATATTAAAAGGGAGAAAAAGCATAGAACTGATAATAGGAAACTTGATAAATACCTTCTATGATAAGCAAGGGGCTTTTCTCTTTTCCATTATTAACAACTTTTATATTAATGCCGGAGGATTTTCTTGATAAAACTTAGTTAAATTATATATTTTTTGATGAAAATTTATTTGAAAAATTATAATTTTCTGCCTGTCTCCGTTTGAGTAAAACCAGATGTTGATTAAATTAGTTTCAACAAAAATCGATACTCTCTTTGTAAGCACGAATTTTTTTTTTTTGTACAAATATTAAAATTTATATATTAATGATTAAACTTGATAATGAAGTAAAACTTTAAAAAAATAAATTGTATTTTTTTTTTAATTTTTTTTTTAGTTTGAGAAACTTCAAAACTGCTAAAGTAGAAATTCCAATTTCTCTGAAGCGACCCAACAAAATTTTTTTTCGAGAAGGAAAAAATACATTAGAAAGGAAGGGAATTAAAAAACTTAAATCGATTTTTTCGTTAAATTCGAAATTTAGAAAGAAAACAAAAATTTGAAAAGAAACATTTTAAAAATGAAGCCAGCTCTTTTTTCCGCTTTAAAAGCGGAGAGGCAGATGAATGTTTTTTTTTTCAGTTTTACTAAATTAAATAATTATAAGTTTATGCTCTTTGTAAATGTTAAATTATTACTTGCCATTATGTATAAAAATTACCGGATCAAGCTATTCCTGATAGTTTTGGGTGTTACCTAAAACTACCACGTAACTGTTAAGTGAAATTGTGCGTTGTCAAGCGTAACATCTCAATCTGAAGAAGCAACAAATTATGATTTCTCCAGTAGTAGTAGTGTTAAGTACTTCACCCGTTCAGGCCAGATACGGTACCAGACGGCAAAACAGGTTAGAAGTCCACATTACCCCCGAGGGGTCAATAGTGAATAGGGAAGCTGGCCTACTATTCGGTCCACTGAAAATGTTCTTCCTGTCTTCATTGTAAAGTTCACCTTCCTTTCCATCACCAACCAGATCAAGGTTAGAAGTGCACAATGGAAACCAGAGTTAGACGTAAAGAAAAAATGATTGATATGCAAGACAGTGAAAGAGATAGAGAATGAAAAAAAAGGAGGCAGTGAAAAAAAAAAAGCAAAAGGCCATTCAACTTTGCTTGTTATTGAAGAGTGAAGTTGTGGCAATGTTCTTCAAGTTCAGTGTTTCCCAGGCTTTACTGTCTGTCTGTATATGACCAGCGGGGAGCTGACTCGTCATGCATCAAGAATAAAAGTTTTTTTTTTCTCCCTATATATAAGAGTTTACAATACACCTTGAATGCATATTGGTGAACGTCTGCGGCCCGTTGTTCATCTTCGTTTAACGAGGTCAATGGCGAATGAAACAAATATATGACAAAGGTCACAACTTATCTCGATAGATAGGAAAACCTATATATTTCTATGTCGGGAAGATGTTTTTTAAATGATAATTTCATGTCTTTTTTCGAAATACAGCGAATTTTCTCTATTTCGAAATGAAGACCTTTCGGTGTTATAATTGAGAGGAAGAAAAGAGAGATAATTCATCCGCAAGTAAAAATAAGATTTTAATATAAAAAAAATCCGGGTGATTTTTATTGGAAAAATTTTAATGATTCATTTTTATAGTAATAGATGGAAGCACGTGTATTACGTTTAATATATTAATAAGAGCGGATAATTTATTTCTCCTTAAAATATAATAATATAATTATGTAAAATTAAAATTCCGAAAAGAAAATATATGAATAAAGTTTACGAAGAAAACAAATAACGTTCGATATATCATTGTAACAGCTGACCTTGAAAACCAAGAAACCTTCGCTATTGGTCAAGAAAATTTTTCAAATAGTGTACATGGCTCCTCCTACACTAGTATATTTCGCCATCTGTTGGCCGATAACTAATTTAAGACAATATTGTAATAACAACAATAGGTTATGTGTTATTATATATAGTATATATTTCGTCCATAAATTTATATACATTTTTTTAAAAAATATATATAATTGAGATTAATTATATAATTCTAAATTAAATTAATTTTATAATTATTTAATAATTCGAAAATTTTATTACTTTACAACGAAAAAGATTTATTATTATTAAACTCTTAAAAGAATTTTTTTTCTCATATTTAATTAAACAATGAAAAGTACTTATCTTCCAAGGTCAGACAATATAAATTTTTAGTAGTAAACCAAATAAATTCTTGGAAATCACAGCTATTTTGTGTTGTTAAACCTTCAGTAATGCATATACTGTATCTTTACCTCCCAATCATTTTTATTGTCATTTCTGACTAATCGTCTCTTTATATATATTATTAAAAAAACCTGTTCGTGCAGTGGTCAAGCAGGTTTGGATAAGTTTTAGAGGTTACCTGGATCCATTTTTTATTTATAACATTGTTAAATCTATAATGCAGTATATTTAATGCATTGTCTGGAATTTTTTAATATATCGAAAAAGATTATTCATCTTTCTCTCTCTTATTTTTTTCTTTCTTCTTTCAGAAATGCCGCGGGATGATCGTAATTTTATTCTTTTTTTAACAATACTTTTAAGTGTATATCATGGTAGAAACCATTTAAAAACTAATGGTAATTATCGTTTTGGTTAATCATCTAGACAACTATGGATGCTGGGATTTAGTCCCAAAAGATAAATAATGAGAATCGTGTCTAACGTTGATGTTTAAATCTCTCAAATTAAAATCTCGCATGACATATAGTGGGATGAATAATTAAAAATTTTAATTAGCCTTTTAAAAATTATTTGCATTTGGTAAATATAAATACACCATTCTATTACGCTTATATTTAATAATGTCGGAAAATTTTTAGATTAAAGAAAATAGCTAATTTTTCAGTTGTACTTTATATAAAAGAAAGGGGGTGGTGGGGAAAATAAAGATTGCTTACATTTTTTTTTTCTACTCTAATGCGCTATATTATCCATCAAAATTCTGCATTAAGATAAAGCTTCAACTATAAATCAATACGCGCTGATTTATTTAAAAAATATTTATGATACATATTCAGCGATAAAACGCAATAATATAAATCATGTCTGGGAAGCAGTAATAACCAAATTAATGGAATATCGATTCGTTTAGTATTCCGCACTGATGCTGCCATCTATTAGCCGAAATTTAAACTAACATTTAAACATTTTTTTTAAATATAAAGTGTTAAAATAAAGATTATAAGATACTTATAGCTTATTTATTTGTTTTTATTATTATAATTGATAACATTATCTTAATAAATTTGTAAAAAAAATTAAAATGTTAGTTTAAGCTTATTATCTTTTTTTTGTTTTTTCTTTTCTTTCGCCCCTCTGTATCTAAAGTTTTAATTACTTTTCATATCAAACTTTGCAGTTTATTAAACAAATTACAACATTTAGTATGACGTAAAAACGTATCAGTACAATTTTTCCTTTTATCAGAACGCCATCTGGTGTTCATTATAATAAGCACATTTAAAAACAAAAAAAAATAAAAAAATATATTACCGAATTTAATAACAGAAGGAAAGATTAGAGAGAGAGAGAGAGAAAGAGAGGGAGACCAGACGGAATTAATTATTAATTTAAATACAATTGAATACTTTAATTAATTAAAGTGAGAATGAATTTTAATTAAAAGACGAAAGAATAAATATTTTCTTTAATAAATCTTTTATTGGTAAAATCATTATATAACTGAAAACTTTTCCTATTCTACTAAATTATAGATTTTATTTTGCATAGAATTTATGAATGCCTTCTGTTTTGATGGACGGTTTCTGTTGCTACTACTTTGGATAATGCAAAATCTATGGGCTTCCTAGTGTCGTATAACATGGGTGCGTGAAGTATTATTCCACAAGTACCAACCATAACAGCGATTGTGAAAATTAAAAGGAACAAGCGATCTAGAACCATTGCCACATATTTCCAATCTTCTTTCACCTAAAATTTAAATATAAATTTTTATCGCACTTTGTAAAATACTGAAAATTCTATATCATAATATTTAATTGATAATCTGTAATGTGATTAATTATCTGATAACGGAGGCAAAAGTATTTTTTTTTTCTAGCGCAAGATAAGATAATTCTACAGCACAATTAAGTTAATTATAGATGATTTCTTTAAGATAGATTTTTTTTTTCACTTACGTTGATATGCTCTTCGTATCTTTTAGTGTGATCGGCGATGCAATGGACAGAATACAAAGCTCTTTGAAATTCTGGGCAGAAATGGAGTCTTCTTTGTCCTATTGGGCTGTGTTCTTCTATAATGGGCAGTTCCATGGTATTCGATGGGCCGTGTATCCTACATCCACCGTTAAATGGTCTTCCTAAGCTGAAATCTAAACTAGTCCTAGGTGAATAATCTTCGTTTCTATGATAATATCGAAGGTTTTCAGAAGAAGGATAAGCGGGTCTCTTCATGAATAAAAGTCTTGGAAGAACATGTAAGAATACTCGCCTCACCCAAGGCGCCATTTTGTGTGTGGAAGATGTTCGGAAATGAACGTTGAGAACGACCACAGTCACACAAATGGATAAAGTCACCAATATCATTGTAAAAAGTAAATATTTTCCTAACAACGGGACAACTAACGAGGTGGGAGGAATTATTTCTGCTAATAATAGAAAAAATACAGTTAGCGATAACAGGATAGAGATACTAAGTGTCACTTTCTCTCCGCTGTCGGAGGGCAAATAAAATACCAAGACTGTCAGAAATGATATTCCCATGCATGGAACAATCAAGTTGACTGTATAGAAGAGAGTTTTCCTTCTCATGCTGATATTGAAAGTAATATCGACATAAGGTTCTACACAGCAGGTGTAATACTTCTCATTTCGTACTGCCGGAACATCTAATATGTCCCATTCCACACTCAGATAGAATTCTGATAAATCGATACCGATTTTCACTAAACTCGTATCCGAAACTTCATCCCTGTGCCGTAAATCTACCTGGAATACCAATTTATCCGCTTCAGTTGTGGTACTCAGAGGCAACAGAGATTAAGCAGTGTTTTTACACGTACCTTAAATCCGTCGTAAGTCCAAGATCCGAATTTCATAACGCATGTTTGTTCGTCGAAAGGGAAGAACTCAACGTCTATCTCGCAAGAACTTTTATATATTGCCGGCGGTTTCCATCGAATCATGCCATTATGATCTAATTGGGCTTTAGTTTCTAGTGTCACTTCGAAATTACCGTCGGCACTAAAAGTAAAAGTAAAAGTAAAATTTAAAAAATAAAATAAAATGAAATACTTCCAATTAAATCCATTACAGATATTTAAGTTTCTGCATTTTATGATGAATATATCGAACTTATAAATATGAACTGTCTAGTAATTAATGTTCCGAGATGAACATAACTCATCGATTATCGATAACGAAAACAATTCAGTTTTTAGATAAAAAATAATTGTTTAATAAAGCGATATTCATTATTTTTCTTTCTTTTTTTTCGTGCTTTCGTGACTGAAAAATTAAAAAGTTTTCACTAGTTCTCTAGAGCAGAAAACCCTTCTGTTTAGTTCCCTAGAGCAGAAAACGCCTCTGTTTAATCCCCTAGAGCAGAAAACCCTTCTGTTTAGTACAATAGAGCAGAAAACCCTTCTGTTTAGTACAATAGAGCNTATACGTCACTATCAATTTTACGTCAATTATTGTGTGGCAAGGAAATATACGAATTTTATATCAGTACAATTGTATCAATGAAATACAAGCTAAGTATAGAAAATTTGAAAATTCACATTTATTTCAAATACTGTGTAATAATTCCACCATTTAAATTCACGAAATTTTGAAATGATGAAAATTTGAAAATAATCCTGCTTTCTATTGATATTTAAATCTATGATGTGTTGTGTTATAGCATGAACTATTGTAGTAATTTTTAAGTAAATTATTTCATTCATTGGTATAATTTTTGGTGTCACAGTGTAAGTAAATGCAATAATTCATTTTTTATTTTATCTAGGGTTATCCACCAGAATATGGTTTAGGTGGACCACCAAAATCTGGCTTACCTGGTCATAATTCTGGAATGAATCAGATGTTTGATACTCAATATACATTTCCAACTCAAAATCCACAAATTGCTACTTATAATGGCCATTTATTGCCAATTGATCGTGTCAATATGACGCCAAATATAATGGCCGAAGAAGGTTTAGGTGATTTTGGTCCGTCGAGACATCAAGTAATGAACAGTCGTCTTAAATCTATGATACAAAATCGCCAAAGTCAAAAAGAACAAGGACATACAATAACAGCTAGCCCATTCCACAATCAACATCCTGTTCCCTCACACAGTCCATCTGGTCAGACATTCTTAAATCAGCATCCTTCTGGTTCTGTTGGAGGAATTCATACATATGATCATTCTTCTTCATTTTTAAGTCAACCAACTGTTCATCAACCACTTTCATCCACATCAGAACAAATGAGAGGCTTATCACATACTCCACCTGCTGATCTTGCAGCTCTCTGGTCAAGGGGACCTTCTCCATTACAACAAAGCCAAATGACAGCAAGTGATAATTCTGGTGACATTTCTCAGTTTCAGAAGGGAGATCCAAAAAATGAAAGGGCTTTCTCTACAAGTGAATCACTTACAGAATTTCATCAGAACAATGAATCGGGTCCCGATCAGCCCATTGGTTATCTTGAGGAACACCAAGACACGTCAAATGGAATGAACTTTGGTGCCTTTTATGGCCAGGGTAATTCAAGGAGAGAAAATGAAAATTCAACAGTGGAGCAGCTTTACAGATCTGAAGATCAAAAGCATAGTGTTACTATACAAGAGTCAAGCACTATTTCTGAAAAATTTTCTGCACAGCCAATTGAACAACAAAATCTTAGTAATCAGTTTATTCATCCTTCTTCATCATCATCTAGTACTGGACCATTTGCATCAATAGTAACAAGTCAGTCATCAATGCCATCTGTTTCTTCGCCATATACAATGTCTTCTGGAAACCAAGTTGCAAATTGTACCACTGTTTTGTCACCTGAATCCTCATCCCCTATAGGATCAGAACAAGTGCCAACTTCATATGCTACCAGTTCCTCCTCTTCACCTAGAGTCTTTGAGAATGCATCGGAAGGAAGACAGACAGAGGTGAACAATGCTACTGCTTCCACCCCCACTGGTAGCGTGGGATGTGGAACAAATACTGATGAATCCATGGAGTCACAGCCTTTTTTATTGAATACGACCACATCTATGAATACATTTACAAATATTATCAATACATTTAATCTTGCTTCTTCGCCAATTTCCTACACAGTTTCTTCCATTTCTACAGCACTTCCACCTGTTTCTATATTTAGTTCTGGGCACTCTGTGATAGTGAGTGCATCCTCTACCAGCCCAGAACTAAAATCCTCACAGTTTCAGTCTCATTCTACTCCTAACATTACATCTCCTCTGACGGGGGGAGGCCAACTAGTGTCAGACATAGATGGTGGTCGTATCCGTGGCTCTTATGGACCAGATTTTTTTGCCAGTACAATTGGCCTACCCCCGTCGCTTTCTTCCCCTACCAAAGCAAACTTAGCAGCCACAGCTTTATCTTCTGTGCCAGTGTCTTCATCTGTTGCTCTTCTTGGTGGCTCACCTAATCCCATCCTTTTTCCCCTTCCCAGCCTGCAAGACCAGGGTTGGTGGGGACATTTGGAACGGCTCAAGACTAGTGCCACCAAGATGGAAGTGCCTCCTAGTGACTGTTACGGGAATGAGGATCATTCTTCAAGCCCCACCCTAGCCACCCTGCCTGCCTCACTCTAGGCCATCCTGAATACAGTATTTGAACTCAGGGTGCTATATTGTTGCGTCCAGCAACAGTACATCAGTATCGGACAGTGTTTGTTCGGTGTATGAGTAGTTCTCAAGCGTAGTATTACTTATGATTACTGAAGTCACAAAAAAAAGGCGATCTCAAGAATTCACTATCTTTTTCCAACAAAAGTTATTGGTAGTTTTTTTAATGGAAGTAAATGCAAGATGAATGAGAATACAAGCAGAATTTTTAAACGTAGGAGTGTACTTTTTACATAGTCTTTTAACGGGTGTCACAATTTTGTAGAGTTTCTACTCATTTATTTTTAACAGCACTTATATTTGCCAACCATTTATGTCTACCTCATTGTATGCTCCTCTGCATGCACATATTAATATTACTTGAACTGTTTTTTTTTTTTTCGTTTTCTTTTTTTTTTATAGTGGGGGTCAATTTTTAGTTTTTATTTAGCCAAAAGTAGAATCCCTTCCTACATGGGGTTTTTGTTCTAAACTCAGGGAGCTCGTGGGGATCAACACACTATTTTTTTCTGTTTATAAGCATCGTCTTTTTTTTTTTTTTTATTAGTCGAATTGTTCTTATTTGCTTGTACAATTATTATTTTATTATTATTATTTTTTCTTTGAATTTTTTTGTTGACGTGAAAATTGTGTGCCCGGAATAACATCACAAATGTAGATTCAGGTCACAATCTAGTTAATGAAATTATATGACAGCACTTTTTGCTGTACTGGCATTTTACAAGATGTGCCATAATACTTTCTAATACTGCTCTCAGGTTTGAATGTGTGAGAATAAAACATTTTTTTCCAAAGACATATTTTCATAGTCAATTGCTTACAAATCATTACATAAGATTTTAATTTTTATTGTTTTTTTATACAGATACTGTATATATATATATATAATCCTTAATATTATAAGTCAGTACAGGGATACACGTAGAGAAATGCCCATAAACAGTTACTAAGTAACTTTTTATCAATTATTTTTTGTTTTTGTTTTTTTAAACAGTGACAAACGAGTGACAAGCGTTGACATTCGTATGTCAGTTTGCTGAAAAATCGTTAAAAATTATTAATCGACTGTTTTTTTAAGTACAGTACATCACAATATTTATCGCACAGTATTATACAATACCTTTTTTTTTTTTAAATATACAAACCTACAATTTTATATATTTTTTAATTTATACTTTAACATAGGAAGNCTACTCTTAGGAAGAAAAAAAAATTATATATATATATAAAATTAAATTATTTGACCTTCTATATATATATAAAAAAAAAATATGACAGAAAATCAATAATTTTATCTAACAAGTTAAACGGCTTTTAATCGAAAGTATACAAAGAGAGAGAGAGAATTATGCAAATGCAAGAATTTTATTTTCATTTATTCATAAATTCCCCAAAAAATAATTTAAGAAGAAAGAAATATTTCTTCTCATTTGCATATTAGCATATAAAATCGACTCATCCCAATATCGAATCTCCCCTACTGAAGTCTGCCCAGAATGGACTAAACCACGACATGACTCACAATTGTGACTGTGACGTGTGAGTAATGGGAAAAGTGGACGCTGCAGCTGTGACTATCGATACAGTGACGTGTTCACCTTCGTCTGAATATCAGATCAGAACAAACAAAGATTTATGAAAGACTGACAATGTAAATTTAACTGTGTTTTTTTCCCCCCTCCCTTCCTTCCCGATCCATTTTGACATAACCATAATTATAACTCAGTTTGTATTGTATTATATATATAACGTCATTTATACATAATTTATTATTACAATATCATCGATAGTAAAGAAAAGAAAAAAAAAGTATTTTTATGTAAACTACCTAAAATTTTATAAATAAAAACTTTTCTTTTAAAAAAAAATTTTTAACCAATGAAAGACTTTAAGTGGTGACTCGTAACCAATCAGATCGGCGGATAATGAAGAAAAACGAATAAAAAAATTTGAATTTTTCATTGATCGTTTTTAAGGAGCGGATAGAAAATCGATTAACAAAATTGGTAAATTTTTAATTACAGGACTTTTGAGATAAATTAACAAAGTTTTAAAATGTACGGATTTATTATTAAACTTACCATAAAAATGATGAAAAGAGGATGTATCTGGCGATAAAAACTTGTATTTTCCCCGCTGTCAATATATATAGAGAAAGTAGATGGTTTTATTACTTTGGTCCAAATGAGTCATACTCTGTAACGTGGTTTGTGCTGTGCTTTATCAGTGTCATTGACATATGGATGTGTCAGGACAGTTATTAACATAAAGCAAAATTCTAAACTGGAATTAATGAAATTACAAACAATGAACTCTTCCAAGCATAAATATTAAAAGGGAGAAAAAGCATAGAACTGATAATAGGAAACTTGATAAATACCTTCTATGATAAGCAAGGGGCTTTTCTCTTTTCCATTATTAACAACTTTTATATTAATGCCGGAGGATTTTCTTGATAAAACTTAGTTAAATTATATATTTTTTGATGAAAATTTATTTGAAAAATTATAATTTTCTGCCTGTCTCCGTTTGAGTAAAACCAGATGTTGATTAAATTAGTTTCAACAAAAATCGATACTCTCTTTGTAAGCACGAATTTTCCTTCCCCCCTCCCAAGATAGGAAATGAGTCTGTAAAGCTTATTATAGTCGACTAGAAGTTTACGTAAGGTTATTGATCATCTATTCCTTAACCATTCGTAAATCTGTGGGTAATTAAGTGCTAAATGAACCACACACATCGCCCAAGCCCAAAATGTCCAGGGAAAACAAATATCGATTTCTTCACTACAGTAGAATTTATGGGTTCTTTGATCCGAATAAAAAAAAAAGAAAGTTTTTGATAAATATGTTAAATCTTGTTTCTTTTAATATTCGAAAATTTTTAAATCTTAAAATAAATGATGTGCTTCGGTGTTGTTTTTTTTTTCTTCTTTTTAAAAGAAAAAGAAAAGATTAAGCGCCATTTAAAAAACAGTCACGTGTATTTTAGTAAGTAAATTTAATTTCTAAATTACATTAGATACATACAAAAATTTATATATATATATATACATTTTAATTATATACAGTAAATTATTTTGGGTTTTGCTTTTTTAATTTTAAAACATCGTTGTGTCACTTTATTAAAATTCTGAATTTGTTTCAAGTTTTGCGCCCGCTCGACTTGGTTCCGTATATATATATATATTTTTCTCCCTCCCTGTCGTTCCGTGTAAAGAAAGGAATTAATTTTTTTTTTCCTGTAAAAAAATTCCAGCAGATAACTATTACGGGATTACTTTCAAAGCTTTGAGTAACAGTTGATTTTTGAAGTAATAACAAGAAGGACTTCAGAGGTGGAGATTGGAGAGCATTCTTCCTGACAGCTTCAACTCTGCCCTGCTTAACAATGGAGAACGCCTCGGGCCTTACTCCGATGACAAACACTTCTCATAACTGCACTTCACTAGAATGAAACTTTGTAACTGCTGAAGAGAAAATAATCGATTGCTAACGAAGTGGAAATCATTACTCTTATTCCGATATCATGCCGGAATTTACGAAGTATTTCCGATATCGTTTAATTTCGTTAACGTTTAAAAATTAACTCTACTATTTTTTTTTTTATTCGTTTTTTTCCGATGTGAAAACGAAAGTAAAACGGTTGGGTTGAAAAACGAAAGTGGTGTCTTTGACTGCACAACTTAGAACACATTTCTTTGTAAATTTTCTGTCCAACAGCTGCTATTGATGGAACAGGTCATGGTCTTTTGTCCAGCATGCCTGGTTGACCGTCTATGCCCAACAACCCAATGGCATGGGTCATACTTGGATCTAACCCTGTACCTGGGTGCGGCCGTAACAATAGTTATACAAAGAATAGTTTTCTAGAACCCAACTGGCTGGTTTCAAATTAAGATAACTTTCTTCATTTGTATCTATTTCTGAGTTTGCTTGTCAAAACTATTGTTGCTTTTATTTTGATTTTTGGAGTAAATATATATGTTTATTTGTCGATTTTATATCTGTTTTTAAGAACATTTTTAAAAATATCTATTTTTTTTTTTTTTTTTTAT